TTGGTCAATTTTGGCTCCAAAACCTCTCAGGTTCTGGGAGTTGTAGGCCCAGCTTCACCTACTACTAGCCAGGCTCCCTGGGCCTAGTAGGCCTCTGGTGGCACAGCCCAGATCATGACAACATCCTTTTTGAAGTGAGGCCTCCAGAACTGCGCACACTACTCCAGGTGCAGTCTGACCAAGTCAGTGTACAGTGGGACTATTAACATCTTGGGATCTGGATGTTATGCCTCTTGATGCCCACCTAGTGTTTTCTAGAAAGGTGGCATTTGCCCAGCAAGACTTCTGGTGGGCCACTGGAGATTTTATTGGCTATGTGGATTTCTAAAAAAATGTTGCTCTGGCGGTGGCAGCCATTTTGTGGTGGACTTCCGCATGCTGTGGCCAGTGTTCCCTCTAAGCTGAGTTAGTGTGAGCTAGCTCACACATTTTTCTCTTGGCTCAGGAAGGATGACTCCAGAGCCAACTGATTTGTGCAGCGGGCAAAGCGCTCAATGCCACCAGCTCATGAGGTTGAATTTTTGCTCACAAGACTCCACAGCTTAGAGGGAGCATTGGCTGTGGCAGCCACTTAGTGTCAGCCATGCCTTTCGGTGACATTAGAGTAGCTCAGCCAATCTCTGCCTCCGGCTCGGTTGGTCCTTCTACCGCACTAGCCCTGAGTTACATTGGGTAATTTCAGACAGCCGATACATTCCGGTTCAGGAACTGTTCCCTAACGGTTTCTGGTCTGACATTTCAGACAGAACCGTTTCAGTAACGGTTCCCTACCAGACTATATTTTCACTTCCAGCCAGAAACGCTTCTGTCCTCGTTCAGGAAACGTGGCTGAGCCGTTTTACCTGCAAACTGCTTCCAAGCAGTCTCCATTTTTCTATACCGTTTCTGAAGGGCTACGGGGTGCTGTGTAAAAGGCCCCGTAGCGCTTCCTCCTGTGCCGCTTTGTTTTCCCGCCCGCGTGACAGATGTTGCCAACCCTTCCATGCCCACTGTGAGTCCTTGCATTGTGGGGGGGATGACAGAATCCAGGATTTCCTGCCAAAGCTGGCAGTCCAATGAGGTACTCCTTTCCAGGTGGCAGATGTAGCCATCTCAGGTATCCCAGTGGAGTCCAGGCATTCCAATGGGGTTGCTGTTTTGGTGTTGCGTTATAGCGCCATAGCACTCTAAAATGAACGTTCCAAAAAAAAAAAAGGACAGAGATCGCCCGCACGAGCGAAAAAGGGCGGGAAAACAAAGCGGCGCAGTCTGAAATGCCAAACCGCTTCAGAGACTGCTCCTTACCGGTAGGGGAAAGGCTTGTGTGAAATGGCAGCCCTGTACCGGTTTACTCCAAGGCGGTACAATAACGGCTTAAAAAGGGTAAAGTGAAATTCCCCATTGTGATTCGATGCAGAATTTTCCGATTCCTCATC